AACAGTGTGACCTGGTGAAACAAACTCCAAATGCACTATGAGTCGACGTTTTTGTCCATTTGGGAGGTTGATGGACATCCAGAACAAAGTTTGTCATCAATTGATATTTCTTTTTTGAAATGACAAAACCACTCACAACAGTCTCTGCGGCACTTTTCCCGAGCAGGAAACAAAATGTTAAAGCTGCATGCAGTTATCCCAAAAAAACAAGGTTTCAGTGAAACTGCTTTTATGAAAAAATTCACTGAGACCAAAGATAACCTTCCCAGGCGATGCCACTGAGTGCACTAACTCAGAGCGAGTTGCTGGATGCTCACCTTTCGGGAAAATGCATTACTATGAAAGCTCCGATCCTCCAGCACAATTGCAGAGTTTTTTGTTTTTTGGTGAGGGCGTGTACTCATATATTGCCAAGAATGTGGTGAAATTAGAACCTGTATCCATTTCTGATGAAAGTGCAAAGTGGTACAGTGTGATGAGTCCCCAAAAACCTAAAAGTAGAACTGCCCTATGCCAGCAAGCCCCCTGCTAGGTATCTCCTAAAAAGACTTGCAAGCAGTGTCTCAAAAAGAAACTTGTACACTAGTGTTTATTACAACACAATAGCCCAAAGTGAACACAACCCATATGCCCACCAGCAGTGGAATGGATAACAAAATGTGGTACAGCCAATACATCGGAATACCGTTCAGCCAGTAAGAGAAATGAAGTCTTGAACCAAGCTACAATGTGGATGGAACTAGACGACATTATGCCGGGTGTGAAATAAGCCAGTCACAAGAGGACAGAGAATGTATGACCTCACTCATATAAAAGACACACAGTGTATATTAATTACACTGGGCCAGTCAGCTGCCCTTTGCACCTCTTTACAGTGTTAAAAAGGAAGGAAGTCACTTTGAAGATAAAGATGCACCAAGACATGATATTTTCAATCACCTTTGTACTTGCAAAAGTAGGACAATGAACGACGAAGCCTGAACCAGGATTGATGCATTTGAATTGTGTCAGTGAGGACACTGAATATTACCTGGACTGCCAACAAAAGAACACGTGTGTGGGAAGAGGTTCAGCTAAAATGCTCCTTTGGCCATTTTGTGATTCTGCAGACTCAGTGCAAAAGCAGTAAATCTGATGGCAGCCCTTCAGGTCAGGCAGGAGAGGAGCATCTTGCTGTAGCAGGCTCTCGCTAGAGCTATTTCGGGAGAGGTGGAGCTTTGGGATGCTTCTCATGTTGCTTTAGGATCGTGGCTGTGCCTCGGGACAGGCCAGTGTTGCTCACAGCTTCCTGCCAGAACAGGCTTCACTTGAACCACGGAGTTAATTTACTGCCCTTGGTCTGCAGTCTGGTTCCTGGCTCAGGCCTGAGATCTTGTGTAAGGTGGAGAAAGCACACACTAGACACGGCGGGCAAGCTCTCGTCATCTGGATTTTCTGACAAGAAAGCCGGCCATGGTTACAGGTGGTTACAGCTTTCAGCCCGTCTCTGGCATCAGTGCTTACATAAATGAATTCGGCCAGCCGGGACAGACCTGTGGAAAGTTCACCCTCTGCCCAGGGAGCCAACCTGGGAAAGCTTCCTGCGGTTACCCAGAGACCTGTATCTGCAGACTCGACTACCTTCCTATCTTGACCAACCGAGCAAACGACTTAACCTCACCTTAAGGGAAACAAACAAACAAACAAACAAATGTTAACTTAGTTGTAGGGCTGAAGCTGACCTATCTCAAGAGGGTTAACTTGTAAGCATTAACCTTAAAGCTGAATTCGCCAAGTTTATCTGTCTCACCCGAGATTTCCTACCGTGGAACAGTGCCCCCGGTGAAGCTTTCAGTTTGCTCGGTGGGAGGTTGGTGTTGCTCACGGGAGACCCTGCACTGCCAAGGGGAAGAGCTCTCAGGACCACCTCTATACCTTACCAAGGTAGTTTTTAGGGCACTTGCTGAAGTCAGGTTTAGGTAGAGTGAAGAAGTTTCAGAAAAAACAGCTTCTGTGCTCTTTCAAAGTTTAATAATGAGAAACCACTTGTAGTCAATAAAGGGCCTGGGAGACAAAAGGATATATATCAAAGTTATTTTTAAAAATTTAATTTTCTCCAAATTTCCACATGTATATTTAGAGCTGTCTTTTTGTGGTAATAGATCAGCATACAAAGAGTGCTTACTAGGAATCCATATAACAAACAAAAGGTTTCAGACAAACAAACAAGTACCGTATATACTGGAGTATAAGCCGCCCTGAATATCAGCCGAGGCATTTACCACAAAAACGGCATTTAAATTGTGGTGAAAAATTTGGCTTATATTCAAGTATATACCGTACACAAACAAAAACTGGGAAACCACCTTTTTATTATATTGAAAAATTCACATGCACACATACAATGAAGTACTTAATATGAAGACGTTAAAGAGACAGGTCTATGGTAATACATAATACTATTCTATAGTACTTTTGTGTAAAAATGTCGAAGAATAAAGAGGAAAAACACAAACAAACAAAGGTACAATTGTATAGTGACAATCCAGAAGTGCATGTATCGTCCAGTTTGCTAACCACGTGCAGCATACTGAAATGTGGCTAGAGTAACTGAGTAATTTTTATTTGAATTTTATTTGAATTGAAAAATGAAGCCATGCACATTTAGCAAAACCAGTGAAAGCGTGACATTTTTGATAAGTTGGAATAAATAGATAATTCGAGTTAATTTCAAAATTTTAAATTATATAAGCAGTTCATCTTATATTTGTGTTGTACAATATGGCTACAAAGAAATATATAATATAAGCTAGAAAACGTTGGAAAGAGGAAAACCTGGAGCTGTCTTCTTACCGACACTCAGCTATTTAAAATGTTTATAATGAACATGTATTGCCTTTTAAGTACAGTGTCAGGAAAGAGTGACGATAAAAGAAAAGACATCATGCTACAAAAAAGAGTACAGGGATTAAAAAAAACAAAAAACAGAGACCACACCAAGTAGGGAGCATGCCAAAATAAAAATGAATGATTCACGTTTTAGGTATGTAAAATTATTGTTCCCAGTTTTAAATGATTGGGCAGTGGATAGAAGAATTGTCATTCATAAATAAAAAATAGTAATATGATTTCTGTTTAATTTGTTGTTTCTATTATTTTCCTAATGGGTTTTGGGGGGTTGGTTTGTTTGTGAGGGAGGGAGGGAGGTCCAGATAATTGCCGTGGCAGGTGAACTTTAGGTTTCGGTTCTTGGCCACTTCTTTGCTTCTCAGTTTTATGGCGTTTCTGTAACTGCAGAGACATTATGAACCAACTCACGGACCCTCTGTCTCTCACGTACTTAATATTTTCAATTTACTGTCATTATCTATTGCCCACTTTTTCCCCTTGATGATGTTAATTAAATAAAATCTGTGTGTCTCTCCTGCTCCCACCACCCCTGTTTAAGCTCTCCTGTCAGCAGTGTCGGAGCCGTGGTGCTGTAGTGGGTCCGCTCTCATGGGAGAAAGATGTGGCGAGTACTCCGGTCAGATGGCGGCCGGCAGCCCACAGGCAGTTCTACCCTGTCCTGTAGGTACCCTGTCCGTCGGCCTTGGCCTGACTGCAGTGTGTTTAGTAATTCTGCTTACCGTCATCGGGAGTGATAAAGGAGGAGTCACTCGTTTCTCTTCCTGTGGTATCAGCCTGTCATTTGTGTCACTGTCTGTCACTTTCCTGCCTTTGCACCAGGTTATGGAGACAGATCGGATGATTTATCTGGTGACGGAATATGCTAGTGGCGGGGAGATATTTGGTAAGTACATTTATTGCACTCTTTTAACAGCACACACCGTGGTGACTTAAAGATAGCTGCTGTTCAGTGCCTCTGCTGTGTGGACAGCTGTCACTGGACACTGCCCTCCAGGGCTATCATTTTTATCAACAAAGTAATTTTTAAAACTTTGTTTTCGTTCACCTAGGAAAATCTCTCCACCACCTTCCTGCTTCCTTAGCAAAGGTTTTTCGCCTTTTTTGAATCAGGTATTGAAAGTCGGGATTAACCATCCCTTATGAGCCCAGGGGCTTTCCTAGTGCCGGCGCTGATGGCGGTTGCCAGGTGTCACAGCACGCCCACCAATGTGTGGCCTTCTCTTGACTTTCCCAGAAGCTGCCCTTCATTTTTGGCAACTATTTTATTGGATGGGGATGGGGGTCTTGTTCTGGTTGAAGTTGGGATGATAAGAAATTTTAATAAGTATTCATCACTTTCAAAGTAGAATCCTCCGATAAATAAGTGACTGGCCAGTTGTGATGGCAAGACTTGTAAAAACTCTCCCCAGCAATCGTATGCCTTCTGTTTCAAAGCTAATGAGGATAGAATTAAAATTGTAATCAGAATGTAAGGAAGGTACTGTTTTAAAGAAATCGAACTATTGAAAAGTTTGGAGACGAATACTGAATTTAAGAAGCTGTAGTAATCTTTTAGGGCTGTGGTTCTCAACCTTCCTAATGCCGCGACCCTTTAATACAACTCCTCATGTTGTGGTACCCCCACCACCACCATAAAATGATTTTCGTTGCTACTTCATAACTGTAATTTTGCTACTGTTATGAATCGGGCAACCACTGTGAAAGGGTTGTTCGACCCTCAAAGGGGTCTCGACCCACAGGTTGAGAACTGCTGCTTTAGGGTGTGTGCTGTGTATATGCTAATGGCTTGCCCTAGAGATGATGATGTTGTAGGTACCCTTTTCCCACCTCAGAGCTCATGTTCTAGAGAAAGAGACTGTCATAAAAATAAACATATTACTCTGAGCAAAACAAAAACCGACCCTGGTGGTGATTGTACAACTCTTCTTGATGTGACCGAATTGGTGAATTGTATGATGGGTGAACCATGTGCCAATAAAAGTGCTGGGAAGAAAAAAAGCAAAGCTGAAAAGCTAACCAACCAAAGCTCCACAGACTGGTGTCCCTCGACTGATTCCGATCCACAGTACTTTCCAGATGGCCGAGCTATGCTCCGAGGGCTTTCCGAAGCGGAGCTCGGCCTTTCTGCTGACATGCCTCTGGGCAGGTTGGAACCTCCAATTTTTGGTCAGTAGTTGAATGCGAAACTGCGTGTGCCTCTATTGAGCTCGCATTTGGGAATTTTCAAAATATGTATAGGTGAAAGCAGTAATGTAGGTGGCAGTGTGCATACCTTTTGGAGGGGACCAGCGGCGTCTCTCTGGGGGGCTTGGCTATATGGAAATTCATGAGCCAGTAAATGTGATTCATAGATTCGGTAGGGAACATTTGTTACTGGAGGAATAAACTCTGGCTGGAAATGCCAGGCAGATGTTAGGATTAAAAAACAAAAAATTCCCTGCTATGGAGTCAATTCCAACTCATAGCAAGCCTGTAGGACAGGATGGAGTTGTTCCTGTGGGTTTCCCAGACTGTAACTCTTTATGGGAGTGGAAACCCTCCTCTTTCTCCCCAGGAGCAGCTAGTTGTTTTGAACTGCTGACCTCATGGTTAGCAACAAAGCATGTAACCACTACGCCACCAGGGCTCCGTAGATGTCAGAATGGAACTGCCACCATTCACATACAAATTCACCCCAAAGCAGACAGGCAATCTTAATTACGTAAACAACTTTTAAAAATAAGCTTGGCTCTGTAAAGCACAATTATTTATCAAATTCTTGAGCTACTTTTGGTCTGTGTTATGTCTTATGACTGGGAGAAAAGTGATCTTGTCATCTAGTGTTTATAACCATCAAAGAAACCACCACGATCAGATGAACCTATCCTGTTCTTTAAAGAAAGAAGAGTTTTCGAAGAGCTGGACAGATAACAATCCCATGATCTTGTCCTCTGAGAGAATGTAGCCTACGGATGCGGAAACAGAATAGTGCTTCTGATGCATAGTGTGTGTGTTATGGAAGAAATACTCCTGACTGAACAGGGAAACAGGGGTCGCATACGCTGATTTTCAAGAACACCTTGAAAGGGGCATCTATGAAAGATGAAAACCAAAGCACCACCACCACCACCGACTAACCAGACTCGCTGCCGTCTGGCTCATCAAAGAGAAACGGATGCTTTAGGCATTCCGATGGGTATCTGCCATCTATTTGCCTATTTACCTGAAAGACGTTTGGAAATGGTTCTGCCCAGGCTGGGTTTCTTAGTCTGTAAAAGTAAGGCTTCTGAATTCCCCCGGCCACCTGTGGAGGTTAATGAGCTCTGTGGACCCGTAACCTGTGCGTCCTTGTCACTGTCACACAAGGAGTGAGTGGGCAACGGTCTCGCAGCATGCTGGGAGGGCAGGAGAGTGCGTCCGTTAAACTGGTGAATCCGGTCACCCTCACCCCCCCGTGGCAATCCTCCGGAAAGTATCCCAAGGGTGACTAGCCAAGAAAGACACATGCACTCAAGAGCCTCTGTGAAAACGGCTAAGGAAGCCAGGAGCCCTTGGCCTTTGAACTAAGATGGCTCCATCCGAGCCTCCTTTCCAGGGTAGCACTTCAGACTCCTGAAGGCAGACCACAGTGGACAGCTTTCTTCCCAGGAAGGAGGGGGCATCCGAGTTTCTCACCCTGTCCCCATCTACAGATTGCCTTCTCCCCCCAGCCCCCACGAGAAGTGTGGGCTTGCCACACTCAATACTGGAGTCCTGCTACCACTGCCACCGTTGCAGGCAGTGATTCCATGCCAGGAGCAACAAGCTCAGAAGACCCACTTTGCCCCTTTTCCTCTATTGCTTAGCTCCTAGGGCAGGGTTGTTAAATAGCGATAAGCTTGCCACAGTCCCCATCCTACCCCAGAGCTCTGGCTAGAGAATTTGCCTGGAGGAGAAATCGGCCATAAAACTGGTAGCGCCTAATCTCTACCTTAAAAAAATGACTTCATTTGCAAAGGTGAGTGCTGTTTTATGAGTCCTGGTAGCTTAGTGAGTAGGCTGCTGGCCATAGGCAGCAGTTGAAACGCACCTTTATCTCTGCAGGAGAGAGCTGAGGCTTCCTGCTCCAGTAGAGATCGATACCCTTGGACATGCACCAACGCAGCCATGCTCCTCTCTACAGGGTCACGATGAGTCAGAATTGACTCTGTGGCGGTGAGTGAGTGCAGGTCTCCAACTCACTTTTAAGAACAGTGAAGTTGTGGTTAAAGGCAATTCAGAGAATATTCAATTACAGGTGAAACTGTAGGCTGATCACTTTGTATGAGAGAACCAGACAATAAGCCACTGGAAGAGCCCTTACTGCCTCAGGTCAAAACTATAACACCGACCTCATACACCAGTCAGTAAAAGGATTCAGAAGTGGATTGGATTCATTTTTAGTATAACTTAGGCCACAGAACTTTGTTGAAAACAGTAGACCAGTCAGTTGACAATTAGGAACTTAAGAGCTGGGTATATTCTGGGAAAGAAAGGAAGAGTATTCTACGAGAACCACTGTCATTCCAGGGTGACTGTGGTAAACCCAAAGCCGTGCCTCCCTAAGAAAGAACTCCGCTCTGGGTAAGGCTAGGGGAGCGCTGGATTTCAGTAAGATAATCCAACCAGTGCCTACATCAACAAGAAGGCACCCCTACCCAGAGCTGCTACAGTATGAGTGGCTTCAAAAAGCCTGCCTTACTAAGAGCTTGACCCTGGAACAGCAGAGCCAATGCACTAAACTCCAAATCAGTGACACGAGAAGCTTATGAAGTAAGCGGGGGAACCACCAGCTACACAGGCCGTCTTGATGGAGCCCCACTGATAATCAGGACACATGGCATCTATACTTTGACGCTGGACCCCAAACGGTAGTACTTACCATCATTCAAGCCACAGGATAAAAGCAAGCTGCAAATGCCCACTCGAGCCATCAGATACAAGAAGCCTAACCTTCATGATGGCCAGGCTGTCTCCCTTGATGTCTTAATGACTTTCCAGGCCAAGTTGTCCAGACAGCCCACCAGCTTGTTTCCAGAGTGAAGGGCACTACCCCCTGGGGGCGCTGGAGTGATCCTGGGCCTGGGCAGAGCCTGCCCTTTAACCTGGGTTTATGGATATAAACAAACGTTTAGAATACAAAAGTGTTTTAACTGCCAGTGACGCTGAATACTTGTCTGAAAAGCGAGCATAGGTCAAATAAGTTTGTGAATCTATGATGTGTGATCACATACTATATATTTGTTTTTGAGCAATATCGAGTTATAAAAATTCTTACAGAGGCTGGAGTGAGGAACAAGGCAGATAGGGTGTGAAGCTAACTACAAAAAGGGAGTAAGTACGTCTTAAGTTATAGTCTCTTTTATCTTTTAATTCCCGTTTTACAGAAACTTCTTGAAGCTCTATCTCCCCCAGGCTTTTTTATTAAATAATCAATTTACAATGATTAAAAAGTAATTCAGATACATCAGAAAATATAGTGCATATTTCACATTCACTAGGGGTGAAAAGAGACAATATTAATCACTCCAAACAGTTTATTCCCATTAGACAATAACTCTCTATCTCTCCTCTTGTCAAGCCCCGCTAAGCTCTGGTCTACTTTTTGCTTCGGTGCCTTTGTCTATTCTATATATTTCATGCAAATGGATTCATATCAAATATGTCCCTTTGTCTTTGACTTACTTCACTCGGCATAGTGTTTTCAAGGTGCGCCCAGGTTGTAGAACTTGTCAGCACTCTATTTCTCCTCATGACGAAGCAATATGCACTGTCAATGAGATACCACATTTTGCTCATCCAGTCATTTGACATTTAGGTGGTTTCCATCTTGTGGCTTTTGTAAACAGTCCTGCAAATGAACATGGGTACACAGGTGTCTGTTTT